GAAGGGATGTTAGTTGAGCTCAAGTTTCTTAAGCGTCAAGACTTAGTCAACGTTTTGGCCGATTATTTCAAGCCCTCCACCGATCAGATCGTGAGTTAAATGCTCTCATTTCGGGAGCATTTCAATTGAATATCAATTGATTTGAATGTTATTTGACAGCAAATAAGAGTGACTTTAAATGTGGACGCAATGGACAGCTATGTCTTCTGCATCGCCAGCAAAAAGAGTGCCCAAAGACTGGCCAAAGAGATGAATGATATTGTAATTGAGAACTAAATGAAGTGATGTTTGAGTGAATAATTGTTTGTTGTCTTTGTCTGCAAACAGAATACATTTTGTCCGGAGAAGAAGTCGCCGGAAAAGTACGGAGTAATGGGCGATAAGTTTGTGTTACTCAACGAAATAGGAGAAGCGGCCGGTGTTCTGCTCGACGCCAAAGTCATTTCACTACTTAAGAAATATGAGGAATGCATTGATTTCATACATTTCACGGATCAATATTCCGGATACAGATTAGCCGAGTATTTATTTTTGTATTAAACTTATTAAACGGTTTATTGATTTATGAAATGTTATTTCAGAGACACTCAACCCATTAAACTTCCAGACGTTAAGCGAATGTTAATTTTTGCCTTCAATTGTAAGAATTGTACAAATATTTGTTGAAATGTTCATTAATATACTGACACTGATGTGATGCACAGTCCCGAGCAATAGTAGCAAAAACCTGGATGAGATTGAATCGATGAAACCATTGCTTCAACTGGTCTTCTACTCGATCGACAAAGTCAAGAAATGTTCATTAATATACTGACACTGATGTGATGCACAGTCCCGAGCAATAGTAGCAAAAACCTGGATGAGATTGAATCGATGAAACCATTGCTTCAACTGGTCTTCTACTCGATCGACAAAGTGAAGAGATTTCGTCTGTCAAGAGAAGGCAAACTGAAAGCCGAACGCAATCGACAGCGCGTGGAGGAGATGTTCCTGAAGACAACACACGCCCAGAGGCAAGAAGTGGCACAACTCAAGAGAGAGGAGAGACGACGGGTCGAGAAGGAGAAGATGCTCAACGAAGAGGATCCCGAAAAGCAGAGGAAATGGGAGGAAAAGGAGTACAAACGGGAGCTCAAGAGAAAGACACCCAAAATGAAACAATTGAAGGTTAAGGCCATGTAATGGGAGACAACTCGATGTCTATGGCTTCCATTGTTGTCTTCAATTTATACTTTGATTTCCTTTTTCTATTTATTTGGATTGAAAGTGACGATCAATTGGTTAAATTTAGATATTATTAGTGAAAAGATTGAAATTAAATTTGATTTTCGCATTTGTTGGTATGTTAGGCATTAGTATCCAAGTATCCATACAATTTCTACTACAGAATGCAAATTCATAAACGAATTTCCATTTTCAACGCTTTTTTATTGAAATCTATTCATATTTAAATTGATATATAAATACTGTATCGACTATTAATATAAATAAATAAAAGACATTAAATTGTAATACAGTAATATTTATTTTACTATTTATTATTCTTGAATTGCTATAATAAATATACTGTAGATAACGGTACAGTATTTCATAACTATGATAGTAGAAAATCACAATACTGTATACGGGTACATAATTTCATTGGGAAAATATATTACGGTATTTACATTTGTAATGATAATTTATTCAAATATTCCAAGCAGATTTTAATTTTCTATCATGTGATAAATATAAATATTGAATTCTTATGTAAGTTCATAATCATTACGGTAGTAATCTATATAAATTATTGTCCGATCTGTTATAATGACTTGCATTTGTCGAGATATTTTTATAAAAATAGTAAAGTCACTTGAGTTAGTTGTAAAATTATTCAATTCATATAAACGTCATTAAATAGGACTTCAAACGGTCATAATCCGGTAAATATTTTCTTAATTAAAATACAAAAAATATCTGTCTTACAGTTTGGTTTTCCCTAATAACTTATATCATACTCTTATCTCTAATTATATTGTTTTATGTTTTTAATCAAATTGTATATTTTTATTAGATTTTATTTTTTAGATTTACATTTCTTAAATTTAGGACAATTTATGTAATAAAGAGAAGCAAACTAAAAATCATTGTTTTTATTACAGATACTTATAAATATAATAATATTTATTCATTCTTTTAATGATAAGATATTTATTTCTGTTTAGTTTTGAAATATTTTGACGCAATTGCTTATCATTAATCATTAAAAACGTTTCAATTCTCGTCACAAGTTTAAAGTCACAAGAATCGTATCAATAGTCAATAAAAAATAAGTTTAATTTAACAATATTTGTAAGAATTGATTCAGTTTGTGATGTCTAGACTCAATTGAAATTAAAACTTAACTCAGTTTAAATAAATATTATTTCAAATTTTCAAATAAAGTAAATAAGATTTTTATTTTGTTTGAAAATAACTTATAAGTTAGGATAGACTACCTTATAAAATAAATTTTATCACAAAATTGCTATTTTAATTTTAAGCAAAAAACTTTTAAATTATAGCAATTTATTGATTCAAAAATTTATTCGTATAATCAGTTGGGTTAAGGACAGCATTATAGGCATATATTTAGGTCAACACATATCATATTTAGTTCACTCAATGCATAAATGATTATATTTTGATATAATTTTTTAGCATTTTTATGCGAAATTTATTAGTTAATTGAAAATTGTGTTTATTTAATAGGCATATATTTAGGTCAACACATATCATATTTAGTTCACTCAATGCATAAATGATTATATTTTGATATAATTTTTTAGCATTTTTATGCGAAATTTATTAGTTAATTGAAAATTGTGTTTATTTTAAAGCAATGAATTGACATCTTTTATAAATTTAGATCCGGAAATGTGTTACTTTCTAAATAAAATGATAAAATAATTTTATTATAAATATTATATCTCGTAATGGTTTTCTAAAATTGTAAATAAAATCATTAAATTCTGTTTTTATTGACGCAAACCATGTTTTCTAAAAATTAATGTTTCTGTTGAATTCAATTTCATTTTCAAGTATTTTCTCATGAGATGTATAATCGTTTTGCAATCATTGTGTAATCAAGTGCTTGCAAATTATTTAATACACTTATTAATTCACTTTTAACTCGTAAGTGCTCATCATCATATTAATTCTGTATGTTGCACAGGAGATGTACATTAGAAATGTTGAAAACCAGGGTCATTCTGTTGCCAAGTGGTATTTGGCGAAAAATGAATTCAATTAAACATATAGCGATCATATGAATATCATGTGAATTACACGATTGCTTTGACCGGTTTATAACAGCTTAACGAGTGTGTCCTTAACTCAATTATTAATTACCACTCATTTTATTAATTATTTTTTTAATCAATAAAACTATTTTTTAATAAAACTATTAATTATTTAGTCTAGACACAAGTAACAGAAAACAATGATTTTAAAATACAGATGATAAGTTTTATAACGTATTGTACTCACACTATAATTAGAAAACAAATGTTATTTCGCGAACACATTATCTTTTGTTCCTTACGTAAGGTTTTTAAACTTTTGGTGCAATGTTTGCAAACTTTAAATGAGCTTAACATTAGAGAAATGTAATGCCATCAACCAAATTCACTTCTCATTCAAGTAATCATAAAATAAATTCTAATTTATTTAAAAGCAATTTACAGAATAATATAATAAAATATTAATTTATTCTAAATTAAATAAAATACAATAATACTAAGAATACCAAGAAAATAATAGCACTCTGGTGAGCTATACATTGAAAACATATATTAACAACAGTTAATAGTTTATCAAATATTCATCAAAAACATTGTGACAAAGAATAAGACGGGGAATAGAGTTACAAATGTTTGAGAGTTTATTAAACCAGACAAAAGCCATGTGAATGCAATCAACTTTCTTATAATCTAATCCAATGCTAAAAATAAGTGGAAAATAACCCCAAATTGGTATTCAACACATGAGATGTATGACTGAAATGATGAAAATATGGTATCAAATATGTGGCCATAAATACTCCAAACATTTCCATAAGTTATTTTTAATTTTGGGAAATTCTGTGCATTTGATGCCTGAATACAGTATGAGACAGACTTTTGACTGAATATTGTTTGCAAAGTGTGTGCAAATGAGTGATAGTATGACTTGTGCTCAAAATCTTATCATTATTTCAATTTCAATCAATATTGACATTGCAACTATTTGTATGCATAATAAATGATCAAGCTTATATCATATCATAGAATATTGAACACTAGGTATTCCTATTCCTATTCCTAAGCCATACTCCGCAAGCACTTCACATTCACTTGAATGACAAGTGGTGTGAATGGTGTTGGAGTCCAAGCACTGCAGGTGTACTCATAATCGTCGAGTGGTATCACCTCTTGTGGTAGACTTTGGGCCCAGAATTGAGTAATTGTTTGCTTCAGAGGTTTTGTGGGAAAGTGTTTGTCTTACTGTTATTCAACGCAATGCTCATCAGAGACGGTGTGATAGGCCTGTCATATGATCGTACAGTCGTGTCATATGCTCTCAATTGCATTCACAGCACACACACCACACATACATCTCATGCACACATAACCACCAATTCCTGTCCCCTAAACGTAATATTCTGTGAATTGCGTCCAGAATTGAATGCAAACGTATAGACAGTTCACCTCCCATTGAGCGCTACTCGTGACAGAGTATGTGATGTTTGATGTATTGATTGGTTGTGTTGTGTGTAATGCTGTGCAGTGTATGTGTTGTCCGCCATATCAACTGCACAGTGAATGCAATGCACAACACATACAACACATAACCCACTGATAGCTGACAATCAGCTGTAATCGTAAAACAGTTTTCAAGCGCTAATCGTTAGCGAAATGAATTCAATTCAATGATACACTGAATGAGATGTGAATTGACTGTTGGATGAGCCATAGGTTTGCATCAATTGACTGGTATTATATGCTTGGAGACAGTGATGGACACCGAGAGCCACCACAACCACCCGACCCCTCACCAGACTCAGGGCCCACTCGTGCACAACAACCACAAGACCGCAGACTCGCAGACCAATCACCCGAAGAACACAGTCCTCCACCCGTTCGACCATCAGGTGAGTACTGATCCCAGTGGTGATGTCCACTGCCTCGGGAACCACTGCTAATGTCATGTATGTCTGGACAGGTGGGCGGACACACGCAGCTCATGCTTCTCGACAAGAGTACACTCTGTAAACCATTAGTTCAAAGGGAACTCTCGTTTTATCTCAACATTCCTCACGAGTTAAAAGGATTTGTTCCCAAATATAAAGGTCTGTCTCTTTCGTGTCATTATCGTCTATGTCTTTGGCTAATCAATGGTTTGTGTGGACTCCAGGAGTGGTTGAAGTGCACCAAACAGACGGCTGTCCAATACTATACCATCCAATCAAAGGTTCCCAATTGGTTGAGACCATTACCGCCGATGACATGAACGACGAGTCGGAAACACACGCACAACCAGAGCTCAAGTATGTCCGTCGATATGATATGCCTTCATGTCTACCATTGCCACCACTTTTACTATTACTCTTCCTTTACACCTGTTTTTTTGTAACGATATCATGAATTTAATGCAAATAATAATGTGTTTTGTTTGTTATCTCTATTCTTGTCATGTATTTAGAGTTCAGATCTGCAGTTGTAATGATCGACGACTACTGCAAAAAGACTTGCATCAGACTCAAGGACGCCCACAAGACAGCCAACAGAGCTATAGCTCCCGTCCCAGTCAGAGATGTGAGTGATTTTCCATGAGATCACAAATCATTATAAAATTAGATTTTCTTTCATTCAATTGAGATATCTTTCCATTCATTTGTCAATTCTCTACTACTATACGATTCTGTAATACCTGTACGCCTATACTCTACACTTGATTACCATATCCTATACCGTAGGCACTGTAGTATAGAGTGAGAGCTTTTAAGACAAATATTTGAATGATAATAAAATTCTTGTCAAGAATTTAAGAATCTAATGGAAAGTTTCCATAAGCCATAAGTCGACCCCAATTCCTGAATTCCATTCATTTGTATTTTAATAGATCTCTATTCAACATATAACTCAATATTTTTCTAATCCTATATTTACAGTCAATTTACTTAAGAACTCATTATATGTTTTGTTTGTTTTACAACTATTCTCGCATTTAATTATTTACCGAAAATGTCGATTAAAGTGATGTGAAAATTGAAAACTAAATACTCAGTTGTGATGTAATCTTAAGGAATTACATCTAAAACAGAATTATTGCATAAAATGTATTATTTACTTAACCATCGATTCTGGCAAATGAGTGATAAATGGGTTTTGAAGTGAATTATAAATACATTGATAACACAATCCGTAATTAGATTTCATGCTTCTGGAGAACATCACATCCCACTACCACTTGCCCTGTATATTGGACCTCAAGATGGGAACCCGACAGCACGGGGACGACGCCACCGACGAGAAAAGGCACAGACAAATGGCCAAATGCGCCGCCAGTACTTCGGCCAGTCTTGGTTTGTGGACAGACATGTTGTAATGTTTCACTTTGTCTACAATCTATGCATTGGTTTGTGTGTAGGGTTTCGGTTGTGCGGAATGCAGGTCTATCAGCAGAGTCTCGACTCATACCAGTTATATCAAGTGGACAAATATTACGGCAGGAAAATCAATACCGAAACCGGTCTTAAAAGGGAACTGGAGGTGCGCTCATAAACATAACTATATTCTTCTTAATGGACACCTCTTTAACCATTTGTTTGTATCACTTCTTCAGGTCTACTTCAAGGGTCGAACGCATCTGATCTCAAGCACAATAAAAAGGCTGAAAGAGTTGCGATCAATAGTAGATGACTTGCGATCGACTCTCCGATTCTTCTCCACTTCGCTGCTGATTGTGAGCGAAGGCTGTGTCGGCCGCCGCAGTACTTCTGTGGCCCGAAAGAGGCCTAACTTGAGTAGCGGTGAAGACGACGACTCGTCAATGGATAGTATGGACAGTAGTGTCGAACTGAAGTGTCCGTCGAAGTCGTCGGCGGCCAAAGAGCAGCGCAACCGACGCCTTGCGTACGTCTGTCCGAGCGATCACTCGAGACAAGTGTCGAACCAGAAGATTGACATAAGAATGATAGACTTCGCTCACACCTCATTCTCGAGCCAGTCGTCCACCGATGGCTTCATCGTCGGATTGGATAACTTGATTCGACTGCTTAACCAAATACGAGAGCCCGACCTCAGGAGCTGCGAAGAGGCCACCGAAGACAGCGACGACGGCGCCGACATTGCCATGTCTTAAGCCTGAAGGTGATCGCATTACTCGCAATCAAATTAAGTACAAAACTATTTGATTGATTATTTTGACAAATATTTGAAAATATACTAAAACCCGTTCACACAAACCAATGAGAAATTGTGCTCACGATTAGGATTCTGTGATTTCACAAAATGTTTTTATTTTGAGCACAATTTAAGAGTTAATATTTCGCTTCAGTTGTTAAAACTAAACGAATTATTTGAAGATTTTAACAAATTATTCATTAAAAGTTAATAATCAGTGATACGTTTGACAAACATTACTAGTCATTCATTGCTAATACATATATTTCTACGGAATATATAATCATTCATAAGGTAAATATTTTTCATACTATTGACTCATTGTTATAACTCATGGTTTTTTATTTTAATTAAAATTTTAATTAAACTTAATTTATATGTTTCCATTTAATTATAATTAATATATTTATAAAAACTAAGTGACTTAAAAAGGGGTTTAAAAAGGTTGGCAACTATTCAACAAAGTATACAATTTTTTACTTATTGACTGAATAGCTAAGAACTGTGGGAATGATTTCTTTTTTATAATATTTTCTAATAAAATATTTGAAAAAATTCTTGAAAAATATTTTGCATAAAAAAATTTGATACTTTTCTAACACTTAAACTGTTTTGTTTGTCAAACCTATCTATGAATTGTTAATTTTTACCTATAATTCAATTAAGATCTTGCTATTATTTAAATCGTGAAATGATTATCATATGAAATGGAAATTTATTTTAATGAACAAAAATATATAAATCAGAATCGTTTGAATGCTATCAGAAACTGAGTTAAATTGAAAAAAACTATTTTGGCAAATTGTTTGGTATTATCTAAGATATACCGGGGTCAATCACTTTCTCGGGTGTAAATGTAAGCCATGAGACAATATATAAAGAAATAATTAGTGAATATATGTAGTGATTAGAAATAAATAGAAAACATAAGAATATATTTATTACAGAATATATCGGAAACTATTTATTCATTGAAAAAATCTAATCAAATATAAAATTCTTATGAAATGAGAGTTAATTATGAAATATATTTTAGAGAAACAGATATTTGAGCTAAAATTTAAGACTGAAATATATCAACAATATCTTACAGTAGTTATCAGTAAAAGAAAATCATTAAAAATCTAATTAAGAGTTATATTTATTTGTGTAAAGAATAATCCAAAGTAATAGTTGATTGAATTTTAATATTTAATTAATCGGGTATTCAATTAGACTTAAGATTCTGGCGTTAAGTCTATTGAAAACTGGATTCATTCAACTATTCTGTGATAAATGCATTCAACAAATGATTTAATTAAACATATTCTAGAATTCTTTCATTTAATCCATTTATCCAATTATATCGACAATAAATACTACAAAAGCTATTGAATACTCGATTTCAAATCCAAATATAGACTTAATTAGTGAAATGTTTTGGTTAAATATTTTCTTGTTTGTTTTTGTTGGAAATGTTTTAAACAAATTTTGCACAACTTCTCGGTAGACTTTTTTTGATTCATAAAAAACTGACAAATTCTTAAAGCTTTATTCATTGTAACATTTTGTTATGAATACATCTAATTTCGCAATTCTGTTCATTTGAAAACAATTTTTTTTGTATATATTTTGAGCGATTATGAGTTTTGAATGTAAGGCTGTATTATATAATATAATTGACTGAATGTTTGGCTTAATTAACATTTAATTGAAGCACGAGTGCTCTGTTGTATAGGACATGGAGTTGTCATTCACTCGACCGGTAAGTGAGACAAACGCACAACTAATGCATTCAATTGTATTGTTTTTTACTTATTATTATTGTTTTTATAATTTACTACTTATTTAACAAATACTGACCAAAAAATGATACGTGTATAACATAAACAGAAAAATATATAAATACATTATAAGTGCATGACTGCTATAATGATTTAAACAAATTGTTTCAAATTCTGTTATGACGTGTAGTTTTGGCGTCTATTTTGGGTTTGATATCGGGTTTCAAATCAGTTGTTGTGCCACCGGTTTATGTACTTCTACTTCACCGCTAGTTTAATATACTTTTAACTCGTATATTACAGTGTATTATAAATATATTCACAACAAATGAGTCTCTTAATCGCCAAAACAAGTGAACAATATTTTTGAGGCTAATAATAGAGACGATTATTGAATACTAATTATAAGAAAACAGTGAAAAAGAAAAACAATTATTTCTTTGAAACAATTGTTATGTACTGTAAGTCGACTTTAATAAAGAAATGATCATAAAAAGTAGTAATGAAGTGAATATCGATGAGAATTTTTGGCACAAATGCGAGCCAACCATAGGATGTGTACTGTATTGTAGTGCAATGTTTGGGGGTTTTCTCATTTGTCATGTCATTGCATGCCTTCACATGTATGTTGAATGACAAACATCTTTGGGATACCTCTCCCTCTACTCTACACTACACTTGTATTCCTTAAGAATATACATATTTTCTATTATTATATGCGAGCGTCAGAAGCAGTCGAAAGTGTTTTTAAAATAATTTATAAACAAATCTTTTTCTAGAGTTTAGGAATTTTTTTTATTATTAGACTTAATATCAACTAATTATTGGATACAAAAATACATACATATTGTGTGTTGACTCGCATTCATGTGTTCACTCGATATTGGCATTTGTTATTATTTTTGTCACATTAAACATTAAATAGTATTATATATATTTATTGTATTGTATATTAATTAATGTATTTGTTATTTAATATGATTATAAATGATTTAAAATAAAATATAATTTAAAAATAAATGCATTTTTGTTATTATTTAATTGTATCGTATACTAAGGATATCAAATTCTTGACGTAAATGGAAACTATTATTAAGTGTACAGGGAACTATTAAAGCTCTGAGTATGTATGGAGTTTTGAACAATTTTTATTACTAATACAGTATTACTATTAAAAAATAATTCTTATTTCAAATTAAATTGATAACATATTTAATTAAATTATTAGTTTCAATTGACAAATAGGAATATTATATAATTTAAAGCCTATGAACCGGCTCATCAGCTCAGGGATTACTTTTCTGGGCTAGAAGTTAGGCCTAACATAGAGCCGATTCCGTGAATCAAACCATTGAAGCCTTTGATGACAACGTTTCCGATTCTGTTGTTTTCATTTTCATGACTTATTTTAATTTGCTTTTTATTCGTCGCTTTACTATTTGAAGGCTTTTTATTAGAGTTTATATTATTATTAGTTTTGCTTTTGTTTGAAATGTGTTTTTCAGTCTTCAGAGAACCGCTTCTATTGAGAGGTTTTTTGTTTTGTTTCTTAACTGAAGATATTTTCTCTCTTCTGGAAGTGTTATGATTGAGAGAAACTTTTTTAACTAATTTCGATGATTTCGATGCCTTCGCACCTTTCGATTCACTGTCTATGATATCCTTAACATATTTCGGAGGTTTTACTTCGTGTTTCACAAAACCCTTTTTGGTTTCAATCATTTGTAAATCTGGTTTATATAAGAGTTTCAGATTTTTAATCAATTTCTTGTCATATTTCTTCTCGTTTTTATGCTTTTTTGACTTTAATTTCACATCAATTTCATCCGAATTGGATGTATTTATCATTGGTTTATCAGTGATTGTATTAAACAGAGGAGTGTTTGTAGTGTTAATGAAATTGTCATCATTTGGAGGCAAAACTAATAATCGCTTCCAGACGTCGTAACCATTTCTGGCCACAAATTTCAATAAATGCTTATTCTTTGCTAAATCCTCAGATGTCTCAGTTGTAGTGACTTCAAGATCTGCCGGCTCTGTAATGTTTTCACTGTACCATGAAATGAATAAACAAGTAATTGAATGAAAATGTTTAAAAGTTAATTAATTTTAGCTCTTTATAAAAAGTTATAAAAATATCTAATTTGTTGCGTAAGATTCGCTTATTTTTAAATCTATTAATTGTGTGTAACTAAAGAATTAATAAATTTCTATCAAAACAAAAGTCGGCACATAATTAGCTGATCTCCAATGTATTAATAGATTTTGTGGATATAAATATCGAAAAACTTGCATTTCTTTCACAGAAATCACTTTCAAGAATGGGGTTAAGTTCACATGAAATGAATGATAAACTTCATTAAAATTCCGGGAATTATATTCTGAAGAGAAAATTACTTGAATTCTTTAGAAACTCGATGAATAAACAGCAATTTATTTACTATTATTTAATTACATAAAAATAACGTTTAAAATAAAATTACTCTTATTTAGAGTGAATTTATAAATTTAGATAAAATACAAAGAATTAACAAATTCTATGCTATAGTAAATATGATACTTACAGATCCAACTGATGATTTTGAAACTGTATGTTGCCTTTGCCTAAGAAAAGCATATAATTGGTGGAGTCATCAGAATCTGCACTGAATTTCTCGTAATCTTTGACTAGTTTTGCGGTTAATAGCAATTGAGCCAAAGGTAAGATTGGATTCTTGTCGAGCAGTGAGTCTTTCGACAGGAGATCAATGATTGGATTATTTTGAATGCAATTTAAAATATTTAACAACACAAAGAAAATTGCAATTAATTTTGAGTCAACTAGCTCCATATTCTTAAAATATTAATTTATATCGTTTTATCATGAACAAATTATCATAATTTATAAAATTAACTAGAAACACTTGTGGCTATAACTTTTGGTCACAAATAAAATAACAGTAGTATTGGTGTAAAACATAAAATTTTGTAACTGATCTAAAATCTATAAAATTTAAACTAAAAACTTTTGTTCAAAAAACTAAAACTAAACAATAAAACAATAAAAAACTAAAAATTTAAATCACAATAGAATTGAGCACTAGTTTAAAGTCAATACATTTTTTCAGTCGTTACTCTCTTTAGAGTCAAATAAATTGTGTTTAATTGGTGTGAAAGGCGTTGAATGTCTGGAAAATTATACGAAATTGTATTTCAATGCTTGCATTCAATCGATTGAATATCAATTGATGCCAAACGAGGCGAACATCTTTAAAGTCATTTGAATTATAGTTTAGATTAAAATGGTTTCTCTCTATTAAC